GCACTCGTGCAGGGAAAGCGGGTAAAGGGCGGCGAATCCTTTCGCCACTCAAGGGAACTTACGGCGACGCCCAGAGCGGCCCTCCCCGGGCTCTCCAGGTGCGGCTCCGGCAGAGCCCGGATCTGCTCCGGGATCGTGGGGCGCTGCGGTTCGCCCCGGTTCTCACCCACACAATATCCGGGCGCCCCACCTCCCCGCGTTGGTGGCCCACAGACCCAGGCGTCCGGCTGCCCGTCGCGGCATGGCCCCGGGGGCGCGTGCTCTCCGCCCCGCATCACCCAAGTGCCCGCCTCCGGAGGGCCATCGGCTTCAGACCAAAGTCCTACTCTCCCAGAACTGCGGCCACCTATTGCCAGGCCGTCTTCTCCAGGTCCCGTCCAGGACCTGAAGTCCCCAGAAAACGCAGCCTCTCCTAAACTCCAGAACCTGCCCTCTGCTGACTCCGCCCTCTCCATTGGCTGGTCCAATGACCGCTAGGCGGTTCCCTGGCCGCAGAGCGTCCCCAGGCCTCCTGCGTCCGCCTTCGCTTGCGGCCCACCCTGCTGGCAGGCTCCCCTACCCGGAGGGCGTGCACAGCTCCCGCCACCCGTCCCCAGCCAGCCTGAACTCCACCTCCACCCGCCATCTGCTGCGACCCCACCTGGCCTGAGAGTGCTGCTGCCAACAGGTCCCCCTCCCGCCCACTGGGGCAACTCGGACACTGGCGAGTACTGCAGTGTGATGAGTAACTATGTCTTCAATGAATTGTACTAAGTTTCTGTGGTCAGCTTGCTTTCCCATTCTTGATTTCACATCTCCCTTGTGTGGCTCAAACCCAAACATCTGATGCTCGGATGGCCCGGCCTCCTGCTCCAGAGTGGATAGAACTCTTGCGAAAGCTGGCGCTGGGCTGGCTTCTCCGTCACACCGAATGCCTCTTCCTCTTGGAAGATGGATGACCACCACCACCCCCGGACTCCGAGTGACTCCTCACTGCCCTTCTCAGGAGCTCACCACCCCATGGAAGCTCTCTGGGGTTAAACTTGCTTTTCCTTTAAATAGTTAACCACCTTCTCTCTCTGCTGTCATCCCCTTTCCTCCATTGTTCCCAGCCAGTCTGGCTTCTCAAGTACTGCCCCAGCTGTGCCTTCAAGGTCCCCAAGGTCCAGTGGCCTTGGCACAACATTCTCTGCTGCCCCCAGCCTCCTGTGGCTTTAATTCAAACCCTGCCTCCCCAATCCCAAATACAAACATGTGCTCACACATACTGGAGAAATGTGACTAACTCCTGTCACCTGCTGGAGGTGGTGGTGCACTCCAGTAATACCTGCAACTCAGGAAGATGGGCTAGAGGATCGGGAGTTCAAAGCCAGCCTCAGCAAAAGTGAGGCACTAAGCAACTCAGTGAGACCCCGACTCTCAATAAAATAAAAACAGGTCTGGGGATGTGGCTCAGTTGGTCTAGTGCCCCTGAGTTCAATCCCAGGTACCAAAAAAAAAAAAAAAAAAAAAAAAAGGTAGAGGAGCCCTGAGTTCCATGCCCAGCACTGCAAAAGAAACAAACCAAAAAGGCCAGCTCAGGGTCTCAGACCGGAGCCAGCCCTAAGCAGAATGTGAAGCACTGCTTCTCTGTGAGAACTGTGGGAGCACTCAACAGGGTTGGGACACCCCGCAAAGGATGGTTGCAGTCTAGGGCAGCTTAGCAGAATGGCACAGAATCTGGTAACAGCACTGTTCCAGAGTCATTTCTACAGGCCTGCAGGGTCTTCTGTCCAGATTGGCCACTTCCCAGCTGCTCCGTGAACACTTGTGAGCCTACTGTCCTGGGAGGATGTGAGTGGCAGGGGCACGGGAGGAGGGCAGCGTTGGCAGCATATCCCTTCCTGGTTCATCTGCCTCTACCTGCCAACCGTGCTCTCTTTCTGAAAAAGGCAGATTCGCCTGCGCTCTGGCTCATCCAGCAGCCAGCGCCAGCAGCACTCAAGTGCTTCAGGACATGGAGGGCGCAGGAAGCAGCCTTGTGCCCTTCCCTTGCAGCCTCTGCACCATCATCCTGGGGCTACAGAAGTACCCAAGGGTGGCAGCTGCTTGGCACCTTTTTTGGTGGCAGAGCACTTGACAGAATGTATAYAGACATCTGGTATTTGAGAAACAGGTCACACAAGGGTTTTGGGCAGAATGCTGTGAGCTGGCTGCCACTAGCTACTGGAAAGCAGACTGAGCCGTCACGAGTGTGAGTGGTTAACAGGCAGGACACGGCCTTTTTCCAGATTGGGAACTCAGGCTTGGGTGAACATTCCAATCGATTAGCGAATGAGTGCTCACTTGCTTGCCAATGGGGTGAAGGATGTTCCTTCTAAACCTTAACTGGGGATAGGACCAAGTACACTGACTACTGACCCAGAATGGAGCTAGGCGCCAGAGAGAGGGCTGCAGCCAGGCAGCATGTTCCCAACCATGAAGGTGTTGCCGACCTGGCCAAATCCAGGGTTCCTGATTCCTGTGCCAGTCCTATTTCAAGTAGGTTTTGCAACAGTAAATGGGAGAAAAAGGGACTCAGGCCAGTTCGGGATCTGCTATTCCAGTAGAGAGAGAAAAAGCAAGCAATCAGAAGCTAGTAGTAACTGGGTTATAAAAGCCCTCAAATGTCATTTTGCTCCATTTGGAGGGCAAAGACTTCCGAGTCCCCAGGCTAGGAGGCTTCACAGGCTGGAAGCAGCCACCCTGCAGGGAATGGCTGCTTGCCCTCTTCTCCCTCCAGTGATCAGCACAGGCAAGGGTGCACCCTGGTCCATTCTGCTTCCCGGGAGCACTTCAGGGAAGTCACGGCTTTGACCTCTTCTTCTCAGATACAGTGAACACCGGCCACATTGTTTTAATTTCCGAATTTATTAAAATGATTAACCTCAATACTGCAAGTGCATGTACAAAATATTTGTAAAAAATGTTTTTAATGAAACGTTAAAGAACTTACCTCAAATGCTGAAAAAGTCCTTTTTCATTCTTTCAGTACAAGGAATACATTGTATCTCAAAAGTATTACAACTCAGCAAAACAATTTAAAACAGTAATTTGAAAAATGATTGAAAATTGAATACTTTACATATATTTCTATGATCATTTCCTAATTCTTACAATGCCAAAAACTTTGTACCAATCATTGCATAAGCTCAAGCTAAAAGTTTTATTGAATGTAACCTCTTCCAAACTGGTCAAAAGTGTGTGGCTTTTGTCTCCCACACAGTGACGTTCTACAGCAGGCTGAGAACAGTCCCGAGGCCCCTACCTTTAAAAACGGAAATTAGGGCGCCCTAGAAGGCATCCCAGCGGCCGCTGAGTGCTTGTGCATACCGACTCCTGAGAAGCAGTGACTCTCACCAAATGTCACTGCTCTGAGACCCACGGGGAGGTCAGCCTCAAAAGATGAGGCCATAATAAAGTTAAAACAAACATCATAAATAAGTTACTAAAATTAAGCTTCAACGTGGAGAAAAATGGGAAATGTGTTTTGTTACTTTTTCCTTAAGACTGAAATTCCTGAAATGGCTATTGTTGGTATTCAAAAAAACCTTTGAGGTTTAGTCTCTGAACCTCTTCAAAATACCCCAAGCAAAGGTGGGAATGAGAGGTGACCCACTGCCCGCCTGCTCCAGAGAACCCCTCTTCATCCTCCCGTGCGTGGTCCAGGCCTCACGCTTCTGTGCAGGGGCCCCATGAGGACTGGACAGTGTCTGGGGACAGGAGCTCGAGGCCATGTAGGACTGCCCTGCCTCAAGAGCTGCAGTGAGAAGGGGCATGTGTTGGGGGAGGTCCACGCCTGCTTCCAAATCAATCCCTGAGGATCAGCCTGACCGTGAGAAGCCAAGTTGGGACTGCACAGGAAGACCCGGGGCTCCAGGGGCAGCAGGAGCAAAGGCCTCTCAGGCTCCTCCACTTTCTATCTGCAACCTACTGGCACTAGTTTTGAGGAGCTTAATCTAAACAATGTCCCCTAAACGTGAAAAGCAGTGGGTATCAAGTAGAAACAGCAGTGAAGCACTGAGGTTTCCTCCACTGGACTTCTTGCTACCCGCAGATCCCTCTGAGTAGTTCAAGACATGGGCTACTTCTCTAGACACTACAAGAACCCCTAAGTTGACTTGACTCACCTGAAAGCACATGTACACATTTCCCAGGAAACAGAGATTTGCTGGTGTTAAACACCTGCTATAGACTTATATTCCCAAATTCTTTGATTTCTAAAATAATCCAGAAAAACGAAAGAGCCTGGTATTGAACATAAAATAATCAAAAATTTGCTCATTAAGTTACTTAAAATTAATTTCTCTTCTCAAAGTGCTTGAAAAAACAAATCTGACTCCTTTTTGATTAACTGATAATATAATCAAAAAATCTTTGATATTTTAATAATAAACTAACATAAGCTGAGAACTCCCACTGAGGCAGTGCTTAAAACTATATATTTATAATTTCCTATTTTATTGGCATGAATATTTCTAAACTTAAAAACCTTCCTGGTAAGTTCTTTTAATTTCTTATGACAAAAATTTCTCACAACACACAAATATTTACAACATATACATTGTTTTCAGCTCTTTACATTGAATTCCAAAGACAAACATTTTTATAGGTTACCACAGAACAAAAGCTGTGACTCATGTTTTTATTTCATAAACTATTATAAGTTAAAGTGAATAGATTTTTTAATATTCCTTGTAGCATTTTACAAGTGCAACAGAAAACTTGAAGAACCAAATTAAGATAGCTGTAGTTCATTAGATAACGTTGCTTGTTGCCATCGCATGTTCACAGCAGAGTTTTGAAAAAATAAGCACCAATCATTCTTGCAAAGAACAATTTTATCTAAAAGGATTGAAAAGTGTTAAATACAAGGTCTTTAATTTACATGACAAGCAATAAATACGCTGTTTTGAAACGCATCCTGCACGCTGCTAACCTCATACATACAGTGTACTGAACAGTGAGTTGTCTTGAGTGTGATGGTATTTTTTTGTTTTGTAAAGAAACCAATTTGACTCCCGACTGATGGTTGGCTATGTTAACAGAGGCCACACACAGTACACCTGGGTCAGCAAACAGTGTGAAACTGACAAACTCCAAGGGGGAAACATCTAGCAAATATAAATCAAAAAGCCAAAGATCATTGCTGGTGATATTAGCATATACTTGAAAACCTTAATATGCTGCTACTATGATTTGTTTTAAATTATTGTTTAGTCATATATTAAAGAGCCAGCTGATGCTCTTAAAAGTTAAAAAAAAAAAAAAAAAGAAGTTGTGTAGCCACATTATTGTCTCAACGTCCTGTGTGGAAAGTTGCTATCACTGTACAATTTTGCTGGAGCCTTTATTTTACAATAGGGCTTCACCTCTAACTGAGAATTGCACATAAGAAGGCTATTTAAAAAGTACGATAAAAATTTGCACAAATCAGACTTAGGAAGAGTCAGTACGCTGTACACTTTCTACAATATTATGCCGATACGTGAAGAGACGATAGAAGTGCTGCCACTCAAATGGTTCAGTTGAGGAATAATTGACTGGAATTTTTATTTCTTTAAAGTAGTTATCCCAGGTCAAATTAAGACCAAGAGCTTATGCGTTAAGCCTTAAAGACTGATCTTCTCTTCTCCTTGAAGAAATGTCAATATCTATAGAGTCTTTCCCGACTATTAGCCTCAGTCGCTTAGCCGGAGGAAGAGGAATAAAATCATCTTCAAAGTCATCGTCATAGTCATCCTCCTCTTCGTCTCCCTCTGAAGAGGAGGAGTCATCTGTACTTTCCTCCTCATACTGACTGTAGTCATCCACTTCCATCTGGGACTCCAGGAGAGAGAGAGGATCACTACAGCACACCCCATTTTCATGAAGCCCCTCTGCATAGGGCCCTCTACTTTCCTCATCCCGTTTTAGCTGGATTTTTAATTTTGTAGAACTACTGCCTGATCCTGAGTTAAATCCATTATTAAGCTTTGCTACATAGAGATTATTATCATTTTCATGGTCTTTACTTAACTTGATGCTTATTTTGGAAGAATTCATCCCGTCATTCTCTTGGTCGTTTGTCTTGCTGCTGCTATCATGGCGCCTACGGAGAGTCAATTTGGGAATCCCAGAGTTATTTTCCAGGATTAGCTGGGCGTCATACCTTGTAATTCGCCGCTTCTTTTTGCTTTTAGCAGTTCTAAAGCCATCCTTCGCCCTGAAGCTGTCTGACGTGACGATCGAGCACCCGACAGGCGAGGGAGTGCAGTCTGTGTAGCTCACGGGCACCCCTGCCACACCGCTGGACTCACCCTGGTCAGAGTGGGGTGCCATCAAATCTGGCACATTGCTCTCCTGTCCAGGGCAGTCATGCACCGGGGTGGACTCTGCTATGTTTGCCAACTGCTTTACAAGTTTTCCTTGTCGCGATTTCTTTCTAGACACGCTTGGGTCACTCTTGTGACCTGGTGCTTCCCCCTTCTGTGCAGTCTCGCTAGCCAGTTCTTCCTGCACGTCGGGGGCTGGCTGCTCACCACTGTCTGGGCAAGGTTCTGCTGTGCCATTACAGCCATCCAGCATATTTGGTTCTAGCTTGATGTCCGAGGCTTCCGGTGGGTTTGCTCTGGTCCTCGCCGAGCGCCTGGTTGTGTAGGTGCAGGGCGAGCTGTCCCCCTGCCAGTGAGCACCTCTCCCAGGATTCCGCCTGTGTTCTCTGGCCGCATGTCTAGTCAAGCACCCACTGGCAACTGCGGCTTGGACTGATCCCTCTGACTCCTGGTCTTTTCTAATGGGCAAATTCTTATACAGGACCACTTTAGGCTCTTTAAGTACTAAGTTCCCCATCTCGAGCTTTCTTGAACTATTCTTCTGCTCTAGTCGCTTGCAGTGATTCCTTAGCTTTATCTTTGAGAGTAAAGGCTTTGCAGGCTTTTTCAGTTTCTTTGGTACCCTGGAATTGTTCGTGTGAGTTAGCTTAGATGAGGTAGAGTTGGAGGAAGCGGGAATTCTGGACATGGACTGCCTGGTTAATGTTCTGCTCTTGCTGTTCTTTTTTACACCAACTGAAGATTTTCGGTTAGAAGCTGTAAGGTTTAAAAAAAAAAAAAGATGAAAAACAGCTGGGTAACACAGTAGTGCTTAACCAAACACTGCCCCACACCAGACCATCAGCTACAAAATATTTCCATTACATACACGTGGAAAACAGACCCTAGCTGATTCTGTCAGTACATGTGCCTTCCCCATGCTGCCTTCAAGTTCTCTTCTGAACTGATGGAGCAACTTGCTCATGTTCCAGGCAAGTGATTACAGTTGAAGAGCTCTCAGCACAGAGGACTCAGACTTCACTCTAAGCTTCTCCTTCATCTGCGGAGACACTGGTCCAAACTAAGCATTTCTTCTCCTCATTTAGTATTTTCTTTTTCATGGTACTTCAGAGGTGAGCTACAACCCCCAGTCTTTTTAATTTTTGAGACCGGATCTTGCTAAGTGGCTGAGTCTGGATTTGAACTTGAGATCTTCCTGCCTCAGCCTCCTGAGTCATTGGGATTAAGGCATGTGCTACCATGCCCAACAGAAGATTTGAAAAAAAGTAAGAATTATAGTTTTCTTTCACAAATTCTTCTTGAAATCATTTAAAATATGCTTCTAAAATTCACTACTCAATTACCCAAAGTAAGCATACTACTTGGCCAGTAATACAGACGAGTACTATATTGCTATAGGGCTCTAAGAGAAAAATTCTAACTTGACAGTTTCAAACAGGAAAGGTAGATCCCAAGAACCACAAATTGTCATTTCCAATAGACGTTTACTAAAAAAGGGCTACATATCCACAGTCGTTTGCTTGCTTCAGCTCTGTGAAGACTGGGAGAGAAGAGGGGGTGTGTGGCCTCAGAGGACCTGCAGAACCTGGGTGGCCTCATCCAATGGCAAGAAGCTAGCAGCAGCTGCCAGAAACACGCATTTAAGACAAGAGAGGGACCCACCTTCACTCCAAGACAGGGATACAGAAAGGCTGCCCTGGAGGTGATGCACCTAGGACCAGGTGACCCACAGGTGGGCTTTCAGGAGGCTCGCCCAGCACTCAGGCACCTTGCCACTGCTTCTCTGCTGCCGTTTTCCCTCTTTACTTACATTGTAGACTATTCTTCATGGGATTTTACGTCAGCCAATATTTCACTTACTCAATTCTCCCATCCCCCAGTCAAAAAGCCTCTCCCTGATCAAAACAACCCTTTGAAGATCATTCAGTGGGGAAGCTGTGACCAACCTCCATGTCGCCAGGGGTGAAACACTGTGGGCAATCTGAGCAGGGAGGCCAAGGGAGGACCAGGCTCCCCAGGGTGCCTGGGCAGCTGCCAACCCTTCTGCACAGCTGAACAAGAAAATCATCACTAGTTTTTCCTGAGAGGGGAACAAAAATGCCTAAGCACTCCAGAAATGATCTAATCACCAAGGCTCTATACTCAGAGGATGGCTCATAAATGCCTCAGTTACCCAGACTAGGAGAATCACAGTGCCAAGATCCACTGACTGAACTAAGAATAGCTCATCTGTGTGGGCTGCTACCAAGGAGGAAGCTTATTTTTAGATTAACAGGAGTAATGAGGTTTAGATACTAGTCAATTTGAGGATGCATTCTTCTTCTAAATACAAGGATATTTATGGAATTCTTTAGCAAAGAGGACAAGGTGGACGGAGCAGATGTGATGTCCACATACATACCAGTGTCCTGGTCATTTCCAGGAAGGCCTGCACCTGTTGACTTTCCTGGATGTGGCCATGAGGACCCCTTGCCTGTCTTACACCTCAAGACCGATATCCGCGATCAGCCTTTCTCAGCTTTTTGCTTCCTTTTGCCACTCCAGGCTCCTGTCATGCTCTACTCCGTGGTTGTACACACCACCTTCTCACCAGCGCCCTGTGCACGCTGGGCCCGCTTCTCGAAGACAGCCTGTGCCAACCGACACTTCCTGGTCATGAAACCCAGTGCGCACTTCTCAGACCTGCCTTTCTCTCTGAATAGGACACCAACTGTTCTCTCCTTCTCAGGACGTCATCTTTTCCTGGCCATTGGAGAGCGCACTGTTCTTTCCTTCTCAGGATGTCATCTTTTCCTGGCCACTGGAGAGCACACTCCTAGTTCTCCCGGTCTCTGGCACTTCTTCATCTTCCCAAGACCCTCATTCTTCAGATCTCTGGCATCCAGCCCCAAACACCAAACACTCTCTCCAGGTGACAGGAACCCACCTGCCCGTGGCTGTCACCTCCTATATGCCGACAGTCCCCTGATACCTTCTCTAGCCCAATCCTTTTCTAATGCCAGACTCCAGTAGCCAAGTGCCGATTGAGGCTTCTCGCAAGTCCTTCGCTGTGCCTGTGTCCAGCTCACCAGACTCAGGCAGTTTCTCCATCTGAGCACCATCACGTCACAACACGACACACCACTTGTCCAAGTGCCCATGTGGGATGCTGGAGGTGTCCAAGACTCTTCCTTCCTTCACCACCTCAGCTAGTCATCCAGCCATACTGCGGAGACCACCCTGCAATCTCACAGAACCTGCTGCCTAAACCTACATGCTCTCTGTCTCCTGTTGTCTTCCCAACAGCCCATTCTCCCCCACGCAGCCAGAATAGTTTCCCCATTATCTCAGGTCACTTTCAGTTTTAACCTAATGCCCTGAGAATCAAGTCCAAAATGCTAGACTCTGGTCACAGATCATCTTCTCACCTTCGGCAACCATGATGACCAAGTCCTCCACCTGTGCATGCACGTGGATGAAAGGCCCCTGATTTGAATAGGCTCCACTGGGCCAACTTCTCACTCCCCGCTGATCCTCAGCTCGGGCAGTGCCTCCTGCAAGGAGCTCCTGTGACTTCTTCTTAGCCCTTGTGTTGTCACAGCACCCAAAGACTTTGCTTACTCAGCACTTAATCTAATTCACTAGATGATCCCACCTTAAGGTGAGTTTGAGTCTAGGCTCTCCCCAGTCCATCCTTCCTTCCAAGAAGTCCAGTGCTGGCCGCAGTGCCAGCCACTGACAAATCACCTCATTTGTGATCCAGGCTGAGCACAAACAGACTGCATTTGGCGGCACACAGGATTTCAAGACTTCTCTTACATATTTGTGCACGTATCAGTGTGTTCTTATTTGAAAAGCATTATCTCATCACAAGTCCGGTCAAATGGTAAGCTCATCAAGTCAGACTAAAAAGACACACATAAGCTAGGCAAGAGGAATGTGAGAGATGTGACTAAGATGCAAGTCCAGAGTCCTTCACTGTCCAAAAAGTGCTACCATGTCCTTGAAGGGGTTGGGAATTTCAGTGATAGTAAGGCTAGAAGAGGAGGGCTGTCCACAATGACACAATAAAAAAGTCAAGTCTTTTTAAAAAGAATGTCAACAGAGTAAGGACTCTGACATCAGTGGAGATGAGGCGTACTTTCAGTTACCCTTGCTCTGTCCTGACTTCTCCTGTGGGGTTTTCTTTCTCCAGTGACCTGGAAATCCCCCAAGTGCATATACTTGGACAGCAGTTTTAGGTGGAGGTACACATTCTTTTCAGCAATTACTATGTGCTAGGTGTTGTGCAAACAGGTCCACTGGGACCTGAAGTAAGTGACATCACACGTCTGTGAAAGCCAGGCTGTCAGTGATGAGTAACCTAAAGCTAGCCATTACCAAATGGCAGAAGGTGGGATTTGAACCTATCTGGGTGAGGTGGTGCATGCTTGTAATCCCAGCAAGTTTGAAGACTGAGGCAGAAGGATCCCAAGTTCAAGGCCAGCATGGGTAGCTGAGAGAGACCTATCAAAACAAAATGGGCTGAGGGTATAGCTCAGCGATAGAGCACCTCTAGGTTCAATTCTCAGTACAAAAAAAAAAAATTTAAAAAAGATGGTGAGTTCCTAATCAGTTGTGCTGCCTATAAGGTCTACTGCAGAATTATTATTGTGTCAGTCCCGACTGATGGGCAAAGGACATGGCTCTCATAGTAATTTCAAGGGGCCATCAAAATTATAAGGCAGTATGGCGTCCCTACAGCCAGATGGAAGAGTTGCAGAAGGACAGCTGAGCTTTCCTGAGTCCTCAGGCTGCTCTAGAGACACTACTATCTGCAACACAACATGCTATGAGGGTCACGCTCAGTTCAGCATCAGCAGAGCCTGAGAACCCAGACAACCCCAGAGGACTCTAAAGGCCTTAGTCTCTGTGAGCTTGCTAAGCACAAGCAGCTCTCGTCAACCTGTCGGCCTCGTGCTGGACAGGACGTGGAAGCAGCCCACAGGCTCAGTGCCAGGAGCAGGCAGCCCAATCTCCACGTCTGTGACCACTGCTCCTTAGTTAGGATAAACTGATTCCACTGGCCTCATCTTCTGGGTCCTGTGCTGACTGGTGACACTGGCAGTGACTGTGTCCACACCTTCAGGCACGCTCTTGAGAGCCTGGATCACAATACTAACTACAGGAAGCTCCCCAAGCAGCAAGGCACCCAGGCCTGAAAAACCAGAATACTCTTAATAACAACTCTGCCATTCAGATTGGTAGACTGAGTTTGTGAAAATAGATTTCTTCTTGTTTCCACTCCTGGATGCTAAAGCGGAAAGTGAGGCTGGAGTTCTGAAGACACCTTCCAAAAAAAAGAACCTGCAAGGAAGGGAGGTTCCGAATAGGTGGAAATGTTTCTTTGTACATGCTGTTCAAAGAAAAGAGTTCCTCTCTCAGCTGCTAAATCCTACATGAAGTGCGAGATAAAGACGGGCGGGCAGGCGGGCAGGCAGGCAGGCAGGCAGGCAGAGAGACAGCATCCACACCTATGCAGCCACACGCCTAGCTCCCTGGGAAGAGAGCTCTGGCAGCTCTGGCTCTTCTCCAGTCAGTTTCAAAAAGTTGTTCTTTTTAAAGGGTCTGGTTGAGAGATAAACACCAAAAGAATATAGCCTAAAGGGATACGTATAAGAACCACAGAAATCCTTCTGTGCACGATTCAAGGGACAGTGGCCTCAGAGATAGCTGAAGTCTGGGCTCCCTCAAGCACTGGACGATGTCTGTCCACTCTACTGTGCCCTCAAGTCAGCCACACCAGCCCTCAGGTTATTCCAAAGTCATGCTGCGGAAAGGCAACTTGGGCAAAGCAAGCACCCCAGAGTAAGCAGCCACTGCTGAGGTTAGCTCAAAGGCATCTTGTTCCCTCTAAACTTGAGAAAATGAAGTGTCTAGTCTGCTCTGTTTTTTTGTGCATTTGTCTTGGAGCTAAAGCACAGCTCCCCGAGCTAGGGGACCAGGTCTCATACATCCTTGTCTCTCTCCAACAACTAGCAGGCTTTTAGTAAGTGTCTGATTTAGTAATAAACATTTTCTAGATGGTTATCTATTAATACACCCAACACCTTCCCAAAACTATTCATACTTTTATCTTTTCAGCCAAGTGGTGTACTGAGTGCAGGGTCTACATACTAGTAACAAGGCTCATGCACAGAAGCAGATAGTTCCACACCTTGCAGGGCCATTCCCTGCAGGCGGCTCTGTGGCTGTCTCCAGGTGCAGATGGCAGCATGCACCCCTGTGTTTTCGTGTGAGGGTCTATCACATGGGGTCTCCAGTTTCACCAAGGAACCAGACTCAGAAAGTGAAGGTTCATTACGCTGCATTTATTTTTGAATCAACAGTCAACAGTGAATGATCAACTAACTCCTCTTTTTGCTCACTTTGAACATTATCTAAAAAGTCTGGACCAGAACTATACTGTTACTTTTACACTACAGAGGTCACACCTGGCCTCTGACTCCCAGCAGCAGGTAGATTCAGGAATCCGTGGCAGTGACATTCAATTCACCTCTTTCTTCAGGGTTTTCTGTCTGGGAGGGAGCAGCCGAGGCGTGGGAGAGCCTAAGATACCCAGCACCTGAGGGGTTTCCTAAGTGCTTGCAAGTCGTACTGACATTAAGATGCCAGCACAGGAGACTTTGGGGACCACCAAGTCAAACCTTTCCAGTAGCCATCTCTGTCAGAGACAAGGCAGGCCAAAGAGCCCACCACTGCAGTGGCACCTAGAGAACACAGGTGTTACCCAGATGATGACAGCAGTGTCATGTTCCAGCACTTCAGAGCTCCTCACACGTCGTACTGTCCTCCACCCGTTTAGGTTTTCTTTTCTTCCTTTTCTTTTTGTTTGTTCTTCATACCCTTTTTCCAGCTTCTATCAGATCTTGCTCCCCAAAACAACTGGTTTTCAAAGCTTGCTTCTCTCTCTTTCCATCTCTCTTCCTACTTTCTGTGGCGTGAACCCAACGTGCCACAACATGGCCACATCCGAGTGCTCCTCGGGCATGATTCTGAGTCTATTCTGGTGGTTTGGTGAATTGAGTCAGTTCGTTTTGAAAAATATAAATGAGTAGTAAAAAGGTGGAAGCCTTGAGGCCAGAAGCTAGGAACTCCCAAGTCCATCACCTGTTCCTAACAGACTGCTGGACACTGGACACACGTGAGCCTGTACAATTTACCCGGTCCCTTGTCTTCTTGCAGGGCCTAACGACACCAATAGGACAGAGTCACTAACACTTTGAAAATGTTTTCCTCAAACACATGATGATCCTGGAATATATGATGAGGAATTCAATATCCAGTTACCAAGTATTCAAAAGAACCGTCTAGAGTACGGCACTGAATCTGGAGGTGGGCACAACTGTGCTCTGTACTCAAACCATTTCTAGAACCTTGCAGGGCTGCTGAAGCTCATGAGTCCCAGTTTCTCTCAATATTTAGAGGTTCGAAACTAATGAAGCATGCTTTAGAAAGCAAATTTTGTGAAAATACTTAAAAAAAAAAAAAAGGCATCTTATCAAATCTCCCTTACTTACTTGCATTGTTTTTTTCCTGAGTGGTATCTGCATCAGTGTTAGAGCTGACAGACTGACTGTCTGAGTTTTTGCTGCTGTCACCTAACTTTTTAAGCCTATTTAAGCGTTTATCTGTTTCTCTGAGTCCATATTTGCTATTGATAACAGGAGCAGGCGCAGGCAGTCCCACTCTGGATTTGAAAGCACCAGTTCCTCGTCTGTAAGAGAAAACAGCACAAGTTCAGTGAATGGAGTGCACGAATTCACAGCGGGCCTGGCTGCAGGGAGCACCTGGCCATGTGGGCTCAATGGTGAGACCTGATGAGGCTTTGACCACCACTGGATAAGTGCCAAGTCCAGGAGTCTCATTAGGTAACTAATAAAATTAAAATTAAAAACTCTATGCTTATCAGAACAAAAATCACTTGTTGTGACTGTTATCAATCGACTGCAAATTGCCTACTATGAAAATCTAATAGACTTTTGTGTAGACTAAAATGTTAATTTTAACTTTGCTATGTGCCACTTAGCACTACATTAACTGAATGTTAAGAATTCGGAAATTTTTAAAAAGCACAGAATTTCCATAAATTAAGTCAATGCCTAGAACTTAGATGTTATATATGCACACAAATTATGACTGAAATTCTATGTAAAAAGGTGAGGGTATTATTAGTGAATATCTGTCTCTTGGAAGAATAAAAACAGTTAAGTAGTTCCCTTAAATTATCAAATTAATATGAACAATCATAATTAAATTAATAAACTGTTACTAAATTAAAGACATTTAAAAGACTTAACTTTAACCAGTGGACACCTTTCCTCAACATATTTATATGATTCTTCTGCAATAAATGCATGTGGTTGGTAGGAGTCCCCCTAACTGCCTGAATCTGGTTGTGCAAATCTTTGCTTAGTCAGTATATCAAGGGCAAGTCTCTACTCAGTTCTATTATGAATTAACAATGTTAAACAGAAGACTACATGTGGTATCAAAAAAAAAAAAAAAAAAGAGAAAATTCTTTGGCCAAAATCATTTTGCCCTTTTGTGGCCTTACCTTGTCAATAGAATGTCATATAATATAGCTTCTGAACTTGTGACAAAATTGTGTTGCAGTGACACACACCTGTAATTCCAGCAAATCAGGAGGCTAAGACATGAGGATCACAAGTTTGAGGCCAGCCTCAGCAACATAGTGAGGCCCTAAGGACTTAGTAAGACCCTGTCTCAAAAAACAAACATTAAAAAAGGGCTGGGGACGTAGCTTAGTGGTTAAGCAACAATTCCTGGGGTGGGGGGATGGGGAGGAATGCCCCCCATCAAGTGAGCACTGCTAACTGTCCTCTGAAAGTCCCATGTGACCGATGCATTTCTTTCAGAATTTGGATGAAGGRAAAAAAACAATATTCCTCCCCCAAAGAAGTAGTGTGTTTTACTTTTGCTAAGGGACAATATACATTTTATTTCTCTTCTTGTCCCCTGGCCCTAAGTACTGGGAAAGCAGATTTGAACCTAACATAGTTGTTGTTTTTGGTAAGTAAAGGTTAGCATTCTTATTAGGATTTAAAATCCACTTTAGAAAGCAATTTTGACTAACGCTATTGTAAAAACAACTAAAAATTGATTGTAAAATTGCCTCAATTATTTTTTCAAAAGTGGGATAGAAATCACTGTAAAAAGTTCCAGGTGGGCTGTGGTCATAGCTCAGTGGTAGAGTGCTTGCCCTGCATGTGTGAGGCACTGGGTTCGACTCTCAGCACCACATATAAACAAATAAAGGTCCACTGACAACTTTAAAAAATCATTAAAAAGAAAGAAAAACCTTCACCAGAGTAGCAACCAGGCCCACGCCACTTCATCCTAAGACACATTTGGAATGCATGTGTGTGAAGCCCTAAAGGCTCAGTCCATAGCAACTGAAAAAGAAATTATCTTTAGACACTCCATGATTTTGATTTTTTTCTAAACCATAACTTGCTAATATTTTTAGTTCATGACTAGAAAGAGACTAAGACATGAAAAGACTTAAAAGTACACTTGAGTGCTGGGATTGTGGCTCAGTGATGGAGGGCTTTGCCTCGCATGTGTGAGACTTTGGGTTCGATCCTCAGCACCACATAAAAATAAACAAACAAAGATATTGTGCCCATGTATATATATATATATATATATATAAAGTACACTTGAACACAAATGCTAATGGCCATGAATTGCTAGAACCTTAGGGAAAGGAAATCTGGCAGTGTGTATTAAAAAGAGGCAAACCCTGTCCCTGGTGGTCCCACATTGGGGAAGAATCCATCCTGTAGAAATAAGAGCAGCTGTAAATAATGATTTGGTTTCCAGGATATATAACAGGTGCAGTGATGCACGCCCATAATGGGACTCAGGAAGCTGAGGCAGGAGGATCTCAAGTACCAGGCCAGCCTTGGCAACTCAGTGAGATCCTGCCTCAAAATAAAAAATAAAAAAGAATTGGGGATGTAGCTCAACGTTGGAGTGCCCCAGGTTCAATCCCCAGTTCCACACACCCACACCTACCCACCAACCCAAATAAACAAACAAAAGAGAGTGAAGTATAACACAATAGCAATAATAAGCAGCATTGGAACTTCTGAAATTAGTTTTTTTTTTTTAACAGTAAAACTTTCACACTCATTTGTATTCTACAATCTTACTTCTTTTTAACTTATGAAATCATGCTTGCTGCAACAAGTAAGGCAATCCGAGGCTGTCCACAAAGCAAAGGGGAGCAGCCTCCTAGGCACCCCAGCAGCACCACCCTCTCACTCCTCCACTCCTTTCCTGTCCTACACAACTCTTTATATCACTGCTGCTTTTCAAGCCAACAAAACCAAAATATCTGAATATTAAAAAATATTTTACCTGGGGCTAAGGCTGTATGTAGCTCAGTGGTAGAGCACTCGCCTAGCATACATGAGGCTCTGGGTTCGATTCTCAGCACCACATAAACATAAACTATTGTGGGGCTGGGGATGTGGCTCAAGTGGTAGCGCGCTTGCCTGGCATGCATGCGGTCCTGGGTTCAATCCTCAGCACCACATACAAACAAAGATGTTGTGTCCGCCGAGAACTAAAAAATAAATATTAAAAAAAATTCTCTCTTCTCTTTCTCTTTAAAAAATAAATAAATAAATAAACTATTGTGTCCACCTAAAAAACTAAAAATTAAAAAAAAGTCTAAAAAATTTTATCATTACATCAATCACGGACAAATCTGCACTGAGCATACAGGTTTTGGGTTTTTTCTTTTGTGTGTGCCAGGTAGGCACCTCACGCATGCCAGGTAGGCATCGTCCCAGTAAGTGGCACCCTGGCCCTGGTGGCGTACTTTGAAGGCTGCATATTTTCATTAATATTCCAGGATTTATTCAATAATTCCTCAGAGATGATCAATGAAACTGTTTTAAATATTCTTTCTTATGCAAATACTGCTGCTACTATTCTTGGAAACCAAATCCCTACCCATGGGTGCTCCTACTTCTCAGGCTGAGTTCCTCCTGAACAAGGGACCGCCAGGGACAAGGTTTGCCTCTTCTTAATACACACTGCCAGAGTACTTTCCCCAAGGGTCCCAGCAACTCATGGCCCTACTAGCACCATCTAGGTACCTGTTTCTTCACATCCTCACTAGGGGTACATTTTGTTTCTTGAATTTTCCCAATTTATTGAGGGAAAATGAATACCTAGTTTATACTAATTTCCTTGCTTGTGGCCATCTCTTTCTGTGCAGAACCTCTTCTTCCTTTACCTTTTTCCCATCAGACTTTCTTTCCTTGGGAGATGCTTTTTGTTGTTAGGATTTTAACTTTTTGCCACATAAATATTTTATTTTCCTTCAGTAAATCATACAGCATGGACTTTATTTTGGCCATTCAAACATCTTTGGATTCCTCATTTCTTGCCTTACTGTCTTCAAGAAGACCTTCATTGTGCTCTCCTAAATTGTTTTTCTAGTATTTTTATATTGTATTATTTAAATTTTAGATTCTAATACAATAGGAATTTATTACATATATGATGTGTTATGGCTTGATTTCGGCCCCCAAGAAGTATATTAAATCAGACTAACATTATCTATAAAATAATTGTTTCCCAATATATGTTAAGATCTCAATCTATACTTGCCTCCATTTCAGGACTCCATCCATGTTCTCTTATTTGTCCATTTCTGAGCCATCATAATCAAGTTTGATTATAATAATTATTACTTTTTAAAAAATTTTTTATTAGACATTGATGGACCTTTATTTTATTTGTTTATTTGTATATGGTGCTAAGAATTGAACCCAGTGCCTGACACGTGCAAGGCAAGTGCTCCACCACTGAGCCACACCCTGGCCCTTTCTATTTTATTCTTAGACAAGCTTTAGCTACATTGCCCAGGCTGGCTTCAAACTTCTGACCCTCCTGCTGGGCTTCCCAAGTACAGGTGTACTGAATTACAGGTCAAGGTCACCATGCCCAGCTTCCCCTACCCTCACATGCCACTTCTTTTTTTTTTTTAGCTTTCAAAAAACACGTTTATATCAGCTTTAAAATAATTTGGACCAATTCCAAAAGCAAAATGCTTAAAGTCCCAAACAATTTATATACTAAATAAGGAAGGAGTAATATTCTTAAAAATTTTAAGTCTTTATAGATAAGATCAGAGTTCTCTCTCCCTTTGGTACCAGGGGAGCTTAACCGCTGAGCCACATTCCCCAATCCATTTTTTTTATATCTATATTTTTTTGAGACAGGGTCTCATTGAGCTGCTGGCTGGTTCTGAACTTGCGATCCTCCTGCCTCAGCTTCCTGAGCTGCTGGGGTCACAGAAGTGCAGCACTGTGCCTGGCATTCCTTTTCCCCCCTGTGGTAATGGGGATTGAACTTGGGACACTTTACCCCTGAGCTATGTTCCCAGCTGTGTTTATTTTTTATTTCAAGATGAAGTCTCACCAAGTTGCTGAGGAATCCTCCTGCCTCAGCCTCCTGGGTCACTGGGATCACAGGCATGTGCCACTGCACCTGGCTCACAGCACCTTTGATTTAGGTCTTTATCAAATTCTATCCTTCAAATGTCTAGAATGAAATCCGTTCGCTCTGTTCACTCTGGTTTCCTCGGAGTGAGCTCTTGGCCCACTTGAGCTCTCAGCACACAAGTCCTGCCTTTTTCACTGTGTTGCTTTGACAGCAGGCCCTGTGCTAGTCTCGTTTCTCCTGCACTACTGTTACTATCTGATGAATTATTCAATGAGTTCCTTTAGTCTCATCTCCCCACTCACTTTCTGTAAAGGCAGAAACAATGTGGTGTTACTGAGAATCTCAGGAACACATGCAGCCAACTTTTTTTTTTTTTTTGTGGTGCTGGGGACTAAACCCAGGGCCCTGTGCATGCAGGCACTCTATCAACTGAGCTACATCCCCAGCCCCCATGCAGTCAACTTTTGAGCCAAACTGCTTGGTCTGACAACAGCCATGCCATGCGTGCCATTCCCTAGAAAGGCTCTCGCATGTTTCCACCTCCCTCTCACCCTAGGCTGTGGGATCACTGCATCTGACTGGAAAGGAAATCATGGCTCTTGAGGGAGAACATGACCAACCATGTAGTTCTGAATGGGTACAGAGGCTGGGCAGGGTGGTGCTTGTAGTGTAGTCATTTGGGAGGCTGAAGTAGGAGGACTGAGGTATGAGGACTGAGGTAGGAGCACAAGAGCTGGAGACCAGCCTGGGAAAACAGCCACACTTGGCCTCTTAAAAAACAACAACAACAACAACAAMAAAAAAAAAAAAAAAAAGAGGAAAAAAACCAAAAACAAAGAACACCAAAACAACCCTCCCACACACCACTAAAGAGTTGTTTTGTGTTATTTTGGAATCCTGAATATATGGTTAGGGTTTTTAAGGACAGCTTCCAAAAACTTATTCATCGTATTTATTTACTACATTCATTTATTCATTTACCCAATACTTATCAAGCACCCATGTGCCAGGTACTATTCTGTATACATCGCAGTAGATGAAGAAGATAAAGTCCCTGCCTTCATACAGCTTGTATTTTAAAATATAATAACCAGAAACCACAAAATAATTTTATAGCTAACATTTTTGTGTGTTAACTGTGTGCTGTTCTACATGTATTATGTCAAATAACAAATTTAATCCCCAAAACAATCCTATGAAATATTATGCTGTTCTCATTTTATGGATGGGGAAAAGGAAGGCCCAGGGAGCTCCGTAACATGCCATCACCTCAGGGCTAATGACATGCAGAGGTGCAGGGTTCTGATTCCAGCATTCTGGCTTCAGATCACAGGCCCATAAGTGAGCTTCATTCTGCTCTCTCTATAAAATGACTTTAATTATTTAACTATAATTAAAAGACTTCATGGGCTAGGCATGGTGGTGCACACCTATAACTCAGCTCAGGAGACTGAGACAAGAGGATCACGAGTTCAAAGCCAGCCTCAGCAACGGCAAGGTGCTAAGCAAGTCAGTGAGAACTGTTTCTAAAAAAAATACAAAATAGGGTTAGTGATGTGGCTCAGTGACCAAGTGTCCCTGAGTTAAATCCCTGGCACACACCCTCCAATAGACTTCATGGATTAGAGAATATTTACTTTTTATTTTTTTTAATTGTCAATGGATCTTTATTTATTTATATGTGGTGCTGAGAATCGAACCCTGTGCCTCAAACATTCTAGGCAAGCACTCTTCCACTGAGCCAAGACCCCAGCCCTAGAGAATATTTTTGTGGAGGTCTAAGATCTAACATTTGAATCAATTTAAAATTTTTTTTTTTTTTTTAGTTTTTGTTGGACTTTATTGTCTTTATTTTTATGTGGTGCTGAGGTTCGAACCCAGTGCCTCATGCATGCAAGGCGAGCACGCTACCACTGAGCCACAACCCTAGCTTCTTGAATCACTTTTAATGTTAAAAGATAAATTGTATGCCCACCTTCCCTGTGCCCTGGCTTTTGGCAACATTAGGAACAGGTTTTCAACTATCCCTTTGTGGCAAGGAGCTCAAAGCTGGGAGAGAAAGGGCCAGGGTGGAATTATAACCCAGCCCTCTCTCATTACTGGTGGAGACCCCAATGAGGGGGTAATGTGAGGGGCTTCTGCCCTCTCTGCCCTAGGCTGGCTATTTTAAGAGAGAGCAGTGGTGCTAATAAATAGGTCCTACCTACAAAAGCAACAGGAAGTGGAAAGCATGAGGACTCCACCACAGTCAGTGGACTGGGTCACTTGCTATTCTCTCACAGGAGAGCTGTGAGGACTGAAGGAGGGAGGGTGAGTCCGGGGTCCAGCAGAGGTTGAAATCAGACAGGCTCTCTCCCTGTGTGGCTGTGCATTTGGCATCTCCTTGAAAGAGGACCCTCCTGTGGCCCTGCCTACACCAGCTCTGACATTGTCTCCCAGGAGTTCCTGTTCATAGAAGTCACTACACAAGTGGCACAAGCTGCCAGTCCTGCTGAAGTAGAGTTTGGGAATTTCCAAAATGACCGCCCCCTTTTTTTTAATTGGTGGGATCCACTGTAGGGACTTCCAACATGCTCAGTAGTAAGTGCTCTAACACTGAGCTGTCCAGCCCCAGCCCACAACGCAGAATCTTTTTTTTTTTTTTTTGTCCTGAATACAGAATCCAGGGGTACTCTACCAATGAGCTGCATCCCTTACCTTTTTTATTTAATATTTTGAGACAGGGCTTTGCAAAGTACTTGAGACCGACCTTGAACTTGCTATCTTCCTGCTTTAGCCTCTTGAGTCGCTGTGGTTACAGGAGTGGCACCAGAATGCCCAGCAGGACCCACAATCTTGATGGGTCATAAAGAGGTTGCTCACCGAGTGTCAGCAGGGAACCCAGGGACTGTGAATTGTATGTACATCAAAACAAAAATTCCAGAAGACACAGTTTGATAATATGCAAGGCAACTTCAGGGTTTTTACATGCCTTCTAAGGCAGAACTTCTTGCCATTTTGGGAGGCTGCCCACTCTGGCACTGCATGTGTGCACAAGTGTGTACTAATATCCAATCTTTCCTTAAGCACTTCTGTATCCTGACCCGCTTGTCACAGCTAGTAATATGAAGATTTTAAAGGGACAGGTGCCAGTGTCCCTAAATAGTTGCACATCATTTGATTTTGTTTATATACTTTACACTGGGAGCTACATAATATAAAAATCTATCTCTGCATTTAAGATATAAAGAAACAATAAGAGTTATACCAATAACCATCAGATAGCTAAAAGAACATCTAAGCTGAAAATCTTAATTAATACTTTACCTTTCACAAGTGTAACACTCGCAGAACTCATTGTTTTCTCCAAAAAACCCATCTCCATAATAACAAGAAATTTCTTCCCCAGGTTCAATATCTCTTAGAGCCTTCACACATGCTGTATCTCGACCAGTTGACACAAACTGAAATATAAGTAACTCAGTAAGGGTCTGACACCCAGGCAGAAACAAAATATTGGTAGGTAGATATATATATCCATTTTTTTTTAATACTTACCTTACAGTTAGGTCTGCAATCTGAAAAATGTCCAAAAGAGAAAGTCAATTAACTGTTGATAAGATCTGAAACACGAACAGTTATAGAAATCTGAAAAGGTTTTTCAGACAATTTTGCAATTCCTGATAGAAGTTTAGGTCTCAAGTCAAACTAGGAATATTTAATAAGTTTGTGAAAAAAGAATTCTTAATTCGAACTCTCCCTTAAAGAGGAGGTTTCACTGAGTGTGGTGAGGCCCCACTAACTTGGCGGGCCTGCCCGACACCAGAGCAGACACCCTGGAAGTGCAGCTTACCATGGTTTATGAATGCAGCGGGACCGAGCCAGAGCTGAGCACAGTTTTTCCTCGTGGAATACATGACACTGAAGTCGTTTTCTCCATGTCTAAGTAGCATGTTCTCCTCAATTTCTGAAAGTTCGGCAATACAACCCACCAGTAATTCTATTTTGTCATTTCGTTTCCTATTTGAAATATGTGATGTGTTAAAAATTACTAGTAATTATAAATAATAAGGCTTCTTTTAATAAAATTAGCCTGCCAATAAACACCAGAAGTTGAGGGGCCCTGTGTATACTTGGACCCCACCTGGGTATCTCCCCCTGGAGCCCCACAGCTGGGACCATGGTTACTTGTCATCAGCCTTATTCCTAGGAGAGAAAGGAAACCCCTTGTCTCTTGAACCTCCAGGTGGCACCTGGTATAGTATTTCATGGGCAGAAAGTGCTCAAACTTCTGCTGCGTGCACTAAATTCGTGAACCTCAGGATAAAGCAGACAGGGACTAGTGGCAATAAAGGGTCACAAGGACCCAGAAAGTGGAGCCACCAGCTGGAGCCCACCATCCAGGATCTCTCTTGAATAGACATCCAAATCATCTTGTGTGTTACAAGATATTCACACCAAAAGTTTTATAAAAACTGACTTAAAATTTCATCTATGGGCTTTTAGCCCTCCCAAGTAGGCTCAACTCTATTCTTTTCTTTTGGCAGCACTGGGGACTAAGCCCAGGGTACTCTACCATTGAGCCACATTCCCAGCCCTTTTTGAGACAAGGTCTCATAAAATTGCAGAGGCTGGCCTCAAACTTGTGATCCTCCTTTCTCAGCCTCTTGAGTCACTAGGATTACTGATGTGTACCATGGTGCCTGGCTATAGCTCTACTACTTTAATTTAAGCTGTCACATGTATGTATATATTTTAAAACAGGTAACACATGAGGATGTTTCTATCATTTCCACCTAGGATGATTAAGACTTTACCTCCAGTCTTTCCTCTAAGGCAGTGAAAGGCTGGCTCTGGAGCCAGGTTATACCCCCGGCACCCCCAGCCTTGCAGCAATCTCCTCACCATGGAGGCTCCATACAACACAGGAAAATGGACAGCACTTTAGCCCAGAGGTTGGACCCGGATCACTCAGACCTGATTCTGTCATCCTGACTCTAGTCAGCAGGCAGAGTAATGGCACTGCACTGGCTCCTTTAGGGGAAATGCTGGCCTCAACCCTTACCCAGACTTCCTTAGCATGACACGAGTAATTTAAGAGATCTTAAAGTTACTTTATGGGTTAGGCTATTATGGGTAATAATAATTACCACTCTTTCGTTGCAACTATCTTGGCTCCATTCTGTTCTGATGAGTATCTATTACAAGGCAGTATTTCAAATCCACTGTCAGTTGCAAACATTCTCAAGTAAATAAATACCTAAAATAGGAAAAAAAAAATGATAATGACTGTAAATTATGTATCCTCTAGGCTTTTTCAGAATTATAAAAGCACACCATGGCAACCATGTGAAAAGCGTAAGGTCATTCAGTGACAAACTTCACTGTTACTTTTCGGTTTTATATGTTTTAGTACCTGGTAACTTGGCTATATTCCTCTAAACTTCACTTCCCAGAAGACAAAGTTTTCTCTTGAGTAGTCATCCAAATGATGTTATTTGTCAGCAGACTTCCATACTTACTAATTTTTATGAAAAATGGATCTAAAATGTCAGTGTCCACCAATACCCAGGATTTAGTAAGATCTACAATTTTATCCAAAGAGATTAACATCATTAATCTTAATAAACTTACATGTTCCTTGAATAATTTCTCCTGCATTTTATTCTTGTTGAGAAAATAATGCCGTGCCCATTCACCTGAAGTCAAACATTTAAAGGCTTTCTCCAAGTGCTCATCTTTCTTAAAACGTTCAATTACTTCCTTTAGTTCTTCTTGCCTTCCTTTAATTGGCCGAAATCTGAAAGAAATCAAAATAATAAGCTTAGTTATCTGCCACAATTTTTGGGCCACTGTTCCACTTTAAAAGCTCCTGAGCCAGTTGTGGTGGCACACCGCCTGTAATCCCAGTGGCTCGGGAAGCTGAGGCAGGAGGATTGTGAGTTCAAAGCCAACCTCAGCAAGATCGAGGTGCTAAGCAACTCAGTGAGACCCTGCCTCTAAATAAAACACAAAATAGGATGGGATGTGGCTCAGTGGTTGAGTGCCCCCGAGTTTAATCCCCTATACCAAAAAAAGAAAAAAAGAAAAGATTTGGGCTGGGGATATAGCTCAGTTGGTAGAGTGAAAGTGTTTGCCTCACATGCACAAGGCCCCGAGTTCAATTCCCAGCACCATTTAAAAAAAAAAAAAAAAAAATCCTGAGAAAAGAGCTAATACCCTAAAAGCAGCCATGGTTATCAGAGCAAAGTTCTAACAGAAGAAAACAATCAGAATCTTGAGAATTACTGTTCAATCACTATGTTTAACATGGGGAAATATGACAGCAGAATGCATTTATGTACTTTGATATAGCATACATAGGTGGGGTATAATTTCTCATTTTTTTTCTTATTGTACATGTTGTAGAACCACATTGGGCATGCAATCATATACATACCTAAGGTAATAATGTGTGTTCATTCTGTCATTCTACTATCCTTTCAAACCCTGTTTTTACATATAGTTATTTATGTGTGTGTGTGTGTGTTGCTGGGGACTGAACCCAGGGCTTTGTGCATGCAAGGCAAGTACTCGACTAACTGAGCTGTATCTCCAGCCTATGTTTTAATATTTTTAATTCAGTTATCTCATTAACTAGGAGGTGACCACATGACTCGACAGAAGCTGTCTACTTCTGGTTTATACTAGTCATCACTCTAGAAGGAATACAATGAAAGATCTAGAATAGAGCATGTCTAATTCAAAGTTAGAATGACAGAAAAATTTAAAAAACATGCAGAATTAAACAGGAAGAGTGCAAGGAAATGAGTTTCAGAAGTATGATAAAGCAAACAAAATCATGCCAAAACAAAAATGTTGAAAAGCTCACACAGAAAAACCCCAATGTAAGTATCCCCACAGGTCTTCAAATACGTCCTGATCTTCTAACCTCCCCAAATGATACTGACCCCTGCATCCAGAGGAGAAGGAAAGCACAGGAAGTATAACTGTCAGGGAAACCACCATGCTTGTATGAACTGTGCAGTGGCATCGAAAAAAGCTCCAGATGTAATCAGCCCTAAGGACCTCAGGACATGCTCCTGCTCAGCACGAGCCAAATCAGAGATAATTCTAGTCCCTGTGAAGACTGAAGTTTGTATGAGCCCCTCATTCTGAAGCTGTACACCGTGACCTTTGGGTCAAAATTTCTTCACATGAACAATTTCATTTAGCAAACTTTCTCAAATAAAGGTTTCATTTTAAAAAACAAACATGCAACAGAAAAAGGGATTACACAGGGCTATTCAAATAAAATATACTAAGAAAAAATAAGCTGGACACGGTGGTGCACACCTGTAATCCCAGCGGCTGTAGAGGCTGAAGCAGGAGGATCGTAAGTTCAAAGCCAGTCTCAGCAATTTACCAATGCCCTGAGCAACTCAGTAAGACCCTGTCGCTAAATAAAATACAAAACAGGGCTGGGGATGTGGCTCAAGCGGTAGCGCGCTCGCCTGGCATGCGTGCGGCCCGGGTTCGATCCTCAGCACCACATACAAAGATGTTGTGTTTGCCGAAAACCAAATAAATAAATATTAAAAATTTCTCTTTAAAAAAAATAAAATACAAAACAGGGCTGGGGATATGACTCAGTGGTGAGTGCCCCTGAGTTCAATCCCTGGTACCCACTCCCCCCAGAAGAAAAAATATTACTGGCTCAGGAAAAAAAAAAATTGAACTACACACTTTAACATTTAAAGCTATGCATCTCATGAGCCTAAAAATGCTAAAAACAGAGATAAGATCTGGAAAGATAAGATCTTTGCTTCAAGCAAAGGAAGCACTCAGCAACATTTCTTCCTAGATAAGCCACCACAAATGTATTCATTAGCATTTCATTAAGATTATAAGCCACAATATTTTGCCAAGGATTATAAGGTGCTCTATACACAGCTGCACATGAAATGACAGAAGATGTGGCCACTGTTCTTTTTAATTTTGTACCAGGGATTGAGCTCGGGGACACTTGACCACTGAGCCACATCCCCAGCCCTTTTTTGTATTTTATTTAGACACAGTGTCTTACTGAGTTGCTTAAGGCCTTGCTAATTTGCTGAGGCTGGCTGTGATCTCATGATCCTCCTATCTCAGCCTCCCAAGTCACTGGGGTTATAGGCATGCACCACCTCGCCCAGTTACCGCCACTGTTCTTTTTAATTTTGTACCAGGGATTGAACTCTGGGGCACCTGACCACTGAGCCACATCCCCAGCCCTATTTTATGTTTAGAGGCAGGGTCTCACTGAGTTGCTTAGTGCCTCGTAGTTGCTGAGGCTGGCTTTGAACTYGAAAACCTCCTGTCTCAGCCTCCCAAGGCACTGGGATTACAGGCGTGTGCCCGGCTGGCCACTGTTCTTGAAAGGGAAATTTAATTGGAAATGAAAGATATGCATCCAATAGTTATGCAAGGCAGTGGCATGCAAATGCATGTTAATAATGATAGAAACTGTGCTGCCACAGCCCTTCAAAATTTGAAAATTCTAACTAAAGTACAAGATTTGTTTGGGACAAGTTTTTAAGTTGACAGTAGTGTGAGCAATGAAAAAAGTGGAGTTAGCTTACTAAAGAAAAAGCACAATATTACAGGCAGGAAAGAATCAAAGGGAAGGCAGAGAAAGAGAAAGTCTAAGCAGACATCTTAATAAAGCTGGATTCCAACAGCTGACAGTTAACTGGCTAGCAATATTGAAGTACAAAAAGCAGGAAGAGAGAAGAAACGAAGTCCAGGGTAGGTCTAATACTGTTTCCAGGACAGGATTTCTAGAGGACTTCAGGTGTGTTAATAAATACTGACAACACTAGAAACTTCCTAGCTACAGATTCTGCACTCTCATCGCTCTTTAAGCTCAAGTACCTTAAGAGTTTATACATATCCTAGAGAAGGGAAGGAGATGGCACCTTTATTTTCCAGTTGCACTTCATTAGTATACAGATCCTCAAAAAGAGACGAACACAAGTCTTTAAACAATTCATAATGTTTCTTTAGGGTGTCAGAATATGGTGATGGAGAGCCACAACTAAATTACCTGAAGAGATGCAGAACTGCGAGTGTCCATATTAAACTACTTATCTGTATGTATAGCCATCACAATCAACTTTGTTAAAGTAAGAGCTCTAAGAAACCCAAGCTAAACCATTCTTGCTGAAACCCTACACTATAGGGTGGTTTGCAAATGAAGAACAGATAAGTAAAAACAAAGCAGTTGCTGGTTAAGGCATAACAACACTACAAGCAACATAAAACATGAAATGGTGGGAAACAGATAATCTATGTTTTGCACAGTAATCAGAAAAGCAATTGATCACTCTGAGCAAATGCAATAAATTACCCCTATGTTAAGTGGTAGGACTACAAACAACAGAGAGGCAAGCCATCTTTTCTTTTTTTTTCCCCTTCGTCTTGGGACTGAACCCAGGGAGGTTCTACCACTGACACAGCTCAGCTCTACCACATCCCAGCCCTTTTCATTTTATTATTTCTTTGAGACAGGATCTCGCTAAGTTGCCCAGGTTGGCAGTTTGTGATCCTTCTGCCTCAACTTCCTGAGCTGCTGAGATTACGGGAAGATGTCACCACACCCAGTGACCAAGCTATCTTTATGGGTTTGATGTGGAACTGACCAATGGTGACACTGTTTAAAAATAATTATACAAAGGAAGTCAGGGGTAAACTCACCCTATAAGGTTGTAAGAACATTATAGAAAAACAACAGATCCGGAGAGGATGGTGGAAATCTGTAACAGGCTTTGTGTTTTCTTTCTTTTTAAAAATATTTTTAGTTATAGATGGACACAATAACTTTTTTTTATGTGGTGCTGAGGAGCAAACCCAGTGCTGAACACATGGTAGGCAAGTGCTCTATCACTGAGCCACAAGCCCAGCCTGCTTTGTGTTTTCTCTAATTTCTGAAACACACTCCTTTCTATCTAAAAATGTGTTTCAGGCATGCTTAATTTTGTTTATCCTTTGTTCACAACACCAAACAATTTATATGCTAAAACCAATAGAAAATAATCAACTATTTAATAATATCCTGCCTTCTACTTCTCTCAAGAGGACTTTTGTTTGCTTTTTGGATTTGCACTGCCTCAGACATGATCAAAACCCATAAAAGATCCCTTGCTACCTTAAACCTTATTTCACTTAAAAGGCATATCTGCTGTTCCCAAAGTGTTAAAACCTACTGTCATAGTTCACTGCTATAGGCATGAAATGAGAGGAAAAGGAGGAAGGAGATGGTTTTGGGTACAGGCAGGCAGAGGAAGACATACTTGTTTTCAATAATCCTGTAGGGGTATATAAAAACCACCTGGCCAACAAACCTACACGTCAAATCCCATTATAACAAATACTTAAATGAAAATGACTTTAACAAAATAAGACTGTTATAGCTATTAGGGCCAGGGCAATAGTCACTGAGGACATTAGAAAAAAAATTATTTTCTACTACTAGTAAATAGAAAAATACCCTCTCTCACCCATAATAGCTCTAAATTCCCATATAAATTGCATAAAGCTATTCTAATACCCTGATACTTAAAGCTAGGGGGAAAAAAAGTACAGATTATCTAGGGTAATCCTTTTGTTCCACAAATGAGGAAAATAAGGCCCAGTGAAGCTAAGTAGTTGGCCAAGGATGTGGGGTTAATTCACAGGACAGCTGGGACTTTCCTTCAGGCCTTTCTTGTTCTGTTGTCACTTGGCCTGGGGGAGCCCTCTTGTGTCACTGCATATTAGAGGAGGATTTGACTTGTTTTGCCACTGAGCCCAGCAAGCAGCAGCTCTGGCTGTTCCTGACAACACAAGGGAAGGGACAGCCGCAAATATGGATTTTCAATTTAGTGCGAGGGAGTTGGCAGGGGAGGTAAGAGAAAGAGTTATTTGGCATTTCCAAATCAATATGCCCCCTTCACCCTTGCATAATACACAATCTACTACTTTAAATAAACTAAACATATTTATTTTTCTCTTTCCAGGCCTCTGACTAATGGCTGTTATAAGAAATTAAAAATACATTATTTACAATTAGCTATTATTTTAAAAGGCAGGGGGGAAAACATGAATTCACACTCCCACACACCTGTTCCCCACTCTCTCCAGAGACTGACTTTCCAGGCTTTCTTGCTATTTGGTTTTTCTGTCTCCAAACCCAAGAGACCACTGTGGCAATGAAGAAAAGTTGTAGATTTGTATTAGCTGTACTACTGTGCCCTTCCATTAGTATGTACAATCAAGAGTTGACTGGAGGGGACAGGGGAAGAAAGGGGGACAGAAAGAAGGAGAAAGGGCAGGAGAGAGGAGGAGAGAGAAAAAAATGCTCAAATATTTAAGATATAAAATAAGAAAACCATGCGGCAACAAAGTGAACACATTTCCCCCTCTGAAGAAAGATTCACTGAAAATTGCCAGTCTGCAGACACGAACAGGAAGAGTCACAGGACCACAGCTCCATTTCTTCTTGACCTGAAAATAAACAGGAACCAAAAACATACCTGGCAGAGTCCTGCAATCAGAACTCAGCTAATCCCATGCAGTGACTCCTGATCTTTTGATGAATGATTTGTTTGTCCTAAAATTACCCTGTCATGAAGTACAAGTGGTTTTTAAAACAATATATAACTAAGACCAAACTATTTTAAAAGGTTTGCTAAATGTTCTAGAATATCTGAAAATACTTAGCATTAAACAGCAAACACAGGCTGGAATGTGTTAGTTGGTATTTTATTATTGTTTGTAGTGCACTCTACCTACCTCACAGGGTTGTTGTGAGGAAAACTGTCAGATTTTGAAAAATGCCTTGAGCTCCTCGAAGGAAAGGCGCTATATAAATGCAAAAACAAACAACAACAATAAAAAACTATTTGTACAATCTGTAATTTCTAAACAGGTACAGTATTTGTTGTAGTAAAACTTCTTAAAACAGTGATATTTCAGAACCTTATGAGCTCAACAAGATAACAAGGCCAGGTGGTTAAAATTCTTTTCTTCCCATATTATACAATATTACCATTGATTAAGTTAGAAGGTTTAAAAATCTTCATTTTGTATTCTACTCAAGCACCTAATTGGAAAGTGATATTTAAAGTAGATTATAAATTCATATCCAACAGTGGATATGAATATGCAAATATAAACAATAAAAACCAGATGGCTATAGTGATGGGAGGGTAAGGACTATGCAAGCCAATACCTGGATTGCAAAAAACATCCAGACAAGTTTCAAAGAAAAAAGTGCCCTGAGGCAATTTTTCTTGCTTTGTAAAGCTGTCTCCTCCTCCATCTCCCCTGCACTTGGTCATACTGCCTAAACAAGGGAACGTAAGTAAAAGCACCCATCCTTCTTTGTAACATCTTGCCCCGAACTCCTTTAAAAAAAAAATCAGAGGTATTATCAACAACTCTATTCTCTTGTTAAAAGTAAGAATTTAATTGGCCAGGTGTGGTAGTGCACGCCTGTAATCCTAGCAGCTTGGGAGGCTGAGGCAGGAGGATCTCGAGTTCAAAGCCAGACTCAGCAAAAGCTAGGTGCTAAGCAACTCAAGTGAGACCCTGTCTCTAAATAAAATACAAAATAGGGCTGGGGATGTGCTCAGTGGTCAAGTGCCCCTGAGTCTAATCCCCAATACCAAAAGAAAAAAAAAAAGGAATTTAAGTTTCATAACTGACAAGTCAATTAAATGAACATTTCCCAATAAATTCAAATTAGTATTTCATGTGTAATAAGTACTCATGCTCCAATTATGACCTACTTGTTGGTAACTATAGGAATACATTATAATTAAACATAATTATTCAAAGTAAAGCCAGTTTTGGAAATTCTAAAATCATTAAACATTTGTGTTTTGTTTGCAGGACAGGGGATGGAACCCAACCTTTTCTTTTTCTCGTTTTGAGATGGTCTTGCTAAACTGACCATGTTGGCTTCAAACTTGTGATCTTTCTGCCTCAGCCTCTCAAAGAGGTGGGATTCCAGTGTTGTGTCACAACCACTGGCAACATATACTGTTTTTTGGKTTTTTTTTTTGGTGGTGCTGGCTATCACACTCAGGTCACACATGCTGGGCAAGCTGCGATACCTCTTTTTAGCTGCAGCCCCAGCCCCATATACTGCTTTAAGACACTATTCTTGGAGGTACACTGAAAGAAGTAGAAGAGAGGCAAAAGGCATAAAAAGGAGAAACTAAAAAATGTCAAATTATAGATGCATAAACATAAACAAAGACACCATTCATATACAATTACTATAGAGATAGCATGGAGAATTTAAAATTCAAGATCTACTACATCTTCCAGTTATACTTCCTTTGCACACAATGACTGAGAAGTCTTCAAATGCCAACAATTTAAGAAGTATTTTATGAACTGCTCCAGGAAAGCATTATCTATTTTCCTTATTTTCTATAGCTTAATATATCTGAAAATGATTTATATCAACATTCTCATAAATTCTTGCTCAAAAGATGAATAGCCAAAAAGAATAATTTTATTTTCAACTAAGTTTACCCACCAAGATTAAATGAAAATCTGTATCTTTCACTAAAACGAACAATATTCATTAATAAAATTTCTGCGGGTCTGGAGATAGAGCTCAGAAGAGAACGCCAGCCTCACATGTGAGGCCTGGGCTTGATCCCCAGCATTGCGCATGCACCCACAAGTCTGTATACTCCCAAATGTCAGCTCAAAAAGGACAGTCCTGAGAGCCCTGGCAGGGGAGGGGATGTCACCACATGCACCATGGCGGCCACAGGGCTGGCACAGTGCAGAGGCTGACCTGTGCGATCCCAGGATCTGGAGGCCTGGCTGCTCCATACCAGGCTATTTTAGGAACAGTGAGTGTGATTAAATGTTGTTAAAATATGAATAAATTTTTTTGTGTGTGGGTTTAGCTTGTTTAACCAGTTTATTTTAGATGCTTCAATTTCTGTGGGAGTAGGGTGAACTTTAACTTCAGTATTTTAATATTTGTGTGGTCATCCTAAACTTCACATTTTATTTATTTGCTGGAGATCAAACGTAGGGGCCTCACATGTGCTAAGCAGTGCTCTACTACTGAGCTACATACATCTCCAACCCCTCTGAATTTCACATTTTATGACTACACCGTTTTAAGCCAGCCTTTGGAAACTATACATGAGGTACTTTTAATCCATTTATCACATCACAACCAAACTCACAGGCCAGAATTAGGACCTAATAGCTATTCTAAATGAGATCTGGGAGTTTATTAGAAATGCAGAATCCCAGGCCCTGCCCCAAAGCTACTGAGTCAACCTGCATTTTAACAAGATTATCAGGTGATTCACATATGAACTAATGATAAGCATCAGTGGCCTAGGAGAACTCTGTGGAGTATTCCCTGTTGCAAAAGCCAGGATATAAGCCTTCATCCTCTGGAATAAAGCACTCGAAGAGTTCTCTCATAAGCCACTAAAACTTTTGTTACAATTTTGATGGGATAACTTTCTAAAATATTTTATATGCTCTCATATCTCAGTATACAGAACACAGTCAACATAACTTTCTCAAGAGATTTCAGGCCAAAACTGTGGGCCTTCACAGTGACATCCAGAAGGCTACTTCTGTGCAAAAAGTGGTTCACATATTTATACTCCCTAACTCAGGAAAAATGGTGGAATGTGGGAGCGAAGAGGTGACTCAAATTCCACCAGGATCTTCTAGGAGGAGAATGAACACTGGGCTTTTATGTCCAATAAAAAAATAGGAAAATGGACTTAAAAAATAATGTACATTAGATCTTTTTTTTTTTTTTTTTTGGTGATGCTGGGGGTTGAACCCAGGGCTTTGTGCATGTGAGGCAAGCACTCTACCATCTGAGCTGTATCTCCAGCCCTGTATACTAGATCTTAATTGGACATCAGGGTATCTAATCTTGATAATCTTCCAGAAAACAACCAGTCACCTGGAAGCAACTATTTAAATAATCTTTGAATTCCATCCAACATTTCACTTTATTTTAGTGGGAAAAAAAACACATGGCTATAGGAAGTAACATGAAAATATCAAAGGCACCATGTTAGTTTCTTTCTTTCTGGATTTAGAATATAATTGATAAGAGGAGCATACAGTGTCTTGTTTTAATTCCAGCAAAGGATAAAATTAAAAGGGGGAAAAAGACACCCCAAGATTCCCTACAGTCAGCTGTCCCCCTGTCAACTGTGAGTGCCCATCTACTGGCTTTCCAATTCCTCCTGGACTGTCACAGACATGGGCAACATATGCCAGTGAGAGTACAATGGAGATGAGAGGGGCAAGCCCAGACTGGCTCTCCATCCTAAGCCCCTGCTAGCTTACTCCCCACCAGATGCATCACCCTCTCCCTCAGAGGACAAGAGGCAGAAGCTGCAAAGCTGCCTATTTGGTGGCAGAAACCATTTTGAAATGATCTAAGGATCTTTTTAGAGAATGACAGAGAATATTTAAGAGAATATGAATAAAGGAGTTATAGACCTCAGATGTTAAAAGATGAGAAATTTCAAGATGAATGTATTAAGTATTTAAGTATGAAAATATGTAAATATATAGATTTTGACACTCAAAATACACATGGTTTCTCACCTGCATACCAGTATAATCATTTAAAATAAATATTTCCTTGATTTATAATAATTAGCTGAATTGCAGAGATTAAATATAGAGGCAAAATTCCATATATTTATTTAAAAGGATTAAAGTCCAGTAAAATCATGAAAAATAACTGATTTAACCTAACTTTAAGTTGGAAAATAGCAAGCATCCATTTTCAAGGCTTTAGAGGGTGCCGGTGAGCTCTTACTTCTAGCTAATATAGTCCTCACCAGTGCTGGAAGCAACACGTGAGGCCACTCCTGCTGTGCTTTGTGACGGAGGTAAAGTAAGAACACAGAACCAAAACAGATGAGACCCTCAGCGGGCACAGAAAACCCTTCTGCAACATATAATTTGCTTTAGCATCATTTAACATTTTTAATGTATGAAATTTTGAACAAAAGTAAAATTAGCCATTCTGTTTTCTTGAATTTAGCATCATCATCTGTTCCATTCAGGATAAAGACTTAAAATTACCTAGTATTCATTTTGTGTGTTTGAAAACCTAAATAGGGATCAAGAACCAAACTGGTTGCTAGGTCATCATTTTCACAGAGTTCCTTGGCGGACATTCCAGAAGATGGTACATAACGACTCTGTCCTTCAAATCCAGAATTACCATTACCTGCAAAAAGCAAAAGAAAGAAAAGTAATTCAAACTGAAAACTACTTTACCTACCTAAAAATCTTCAGATTCACTGCCAATTAAAACTAGTGATCAAACACAGAAATCAACATATTTCAATCAGCCTTAGTTATAAAACAGAAAACCAAATGCAGTAAACTAAATCAATTATTTAGGATATTTTTATTTTTCTTCTTTTTTTGGGAGGGTGGTACTGGGGATCGAATGAGAGGCTTTCACATGAGAAGCAAACACTTTACCACTAAGCCCTTTAAAAAACTTTTTTTTTTTTTTTTTTAGAGATTGGTCTGTTAAGTTGCCCAGCCTGGCCTGGAGCTTGTGATCCTCTCAGGTGGGATTATAAGGTATGTGCCACTGTTCCCAGCTACTAAGAATATTTTGGGTAGCTAATTATACTATCAGGTTTCTGGTGTCTGGGTAGTTGGGGGAAGTTTTGATTTAGGAACTTTACTCTTTCCTCCAAGGGCAGCTGAGAAATAGGGGATGATAGGATATTTACTATTTTAATAGAAGGCACATAGTGCCACTGCAGATAGGGTTGGGGCAAGAGAGAAATGGAATGTGCTTAAGACAGGTTCTAAAGTAAGGGCTAGAACTGTGCATCTCAAGCACCAATAGGAAACTACAGAGTTCAGCTTCCTGCTTTTAGGCAGTTAAGTGATTGCTACCCCCACTTTGTAGGAACTGAGGCCTAGAGGCTAAGAAACTTACATATGATCAGAGAGCTAGGTAGCAGAAATGGGGAAAGTGGAGAGAGACTGATGGTCTGTTTCTTTTTAATATTTATTTTTTCTTAGTTGTAGTTGGACACAATACCTCTATTTTGTTTATTTTTATGTGATGCTGAGGATTGAACCTAGGGCCCTGCACGTGTGAGGTGAACGCTCTACCGCTGAGCCACGACCCCAGCCCCCCCGCAACAGGTCTGTTTTTAACTGACTTTAATTTTGAAAAGAATAAATCAAAAGAAACAATCTTGAAAGAATGAATAAAAAGAGACTGAAATATATAGCTGCAATAACTAGATTTAACTATGGTAAAGCAATGTAAAGAAGAAAAGTCACAATTACATAGATGAAGTTTTATCAGAGCTGAGTTTGATGCATGTATCGCTGACAGTCTTTCCATGGAATGAGCACATACAATTTACAGAAGACACCACAGTATAATTTCTTTTTTTTTTTTTAATAATCTTGCCCTAAAGGCATTTATTTATTTTTTAATATTTATTTTTTAGTTTTCGGTGGACACAACATCTTTGTATGTGGTGCTGAGGATCGAACCTGGGCCGCACGCATGCCAGGCGAGCGCACTACCGCTTGAGCCATATCCCCAGCCCACCACAGTATAATTTCAAGGCTCTCAAATTTAAGACATAAAAGAATGGGAGGGCTGGGGATATAGCATCTGTTTGATTCTAGATATCCTAGTAGCTGAAGTCATATTATGTGTCACTGATTTGCATTCCCTGGTGACTAATGATGTTAAACATCTTTTCATATGCTTACAGTCCATTACTATCTCTGGAGAAATTTCTGTCTATTTTAAAACTGAATTTTGTCTTTTACTGTTGACTTTTAAAGAGTTCTTTATGTATTCTGGATACTATTCCCTTATCAGATCTATGATATGAAAATACTTCCTTCCACACTGTGGCTATCTTTATTTATTTTTGGTACTGAGGATTGAACCTGGGGGGACTTGACCCCTGAGCCAAATCCCCAGCCCTATTTTGTATTTTATTTAGAGACAGGGTCTCACTGAGTTGCTTAGCACCCGGCTTTTTCTGAGGGCTGGCTCTGAACTCTTGATCCTCCTGCGTTAGCCTCCCAAGTTGCTGGGATCACAGGTGTGTGCCACTGTGCCCAGCTATGGCTGTCTCTTCATGTTCTTAATGGTATCCCTTAAAGTGTGAAAGTTCGGGGCTCAGTGGCAGAGCACTCGTCTAGCATGCGTGAGGCACTGGGGTCCACCCTCAGCACCACATAAAAATACATAATAAAATAAAGATATTGTGCCCACCTATAAGTAAAAAATAAATATTAAAAATAAGTGTGAGGAGGGCTGGGATTGTAGCTCAGTGGGAGAGCGCTCGCCTAGCACGTGTGAGACCCTGGTGGGTTCGATCCTCAGCATCACATAAAAACAAATAAATAAAGACACTGTGTCCAACTACACCTAAAAAATAGATATTAAAAAAGTGTAAAAGTTGGCAATTTTTTTTAGTATTATTTTTTAGTTGTAGTCAGATACAATACCTTTATTTAATTTGGTGCTAAGGGTTGAACCCAGGGCCTCGCATGTGCAGCGAGTGCACTATTGCTAAGCCACAACCCCGGCCCAAAAGCTGGCAATTTTGATGAAATTTTTTGTTCCTTTTATCTTTAGTTTCATATCTTAGAAACCACTGCCTAATCCAAACTCAGGAGAAATTATGTCTGTTTTCTTCTAGGAACTGCATAGATTTTGCTCTTACATGTAGGTATTTGATTCATTTTGAGTTAATTTTTACATATTGTGTGAGATAGGATTTCAACTTCATTCTTCACATATAGATACTAAATTTTCTCATCATTATTTACTTAAAAAATTTCCTTACTGTGCTGGTTTTTCTTGGCAGTCTTGCCAAGCATCAACTGACCAAAAATGTGAGAAATAGACTCTCATTCAATCTACATGTCAATGCCATATCATCTCTGTTTTGATTACTCCCTTTGTACTAAATTTTGAAATTGGAAAGTATAAGTTCTCCAAATTTGTTCTTTCTCAAGATTGTTTTGGCTATTCTGGGTCTCTTGAATTTCCATAAGTATTTTAGGATCAGTTTGTCATTTTCTGCAAAGAAGTCAATTGGGATTTGACAGAGACTCTGCTGAATCAAAAGTCATTTCAGGAATACTGCCATTTTAACAACATTAAGTCTTTTTTTTTTTTTTTTTTTTTAAAGAGAGAGTGAGAGAGGAGAGAGAGAGAGAGAGAGAAACAATTTTTAATATTTATTTTTTAGTTCTCGGCGGACACAACATCTTTGTTGGTATGTGGTGCTGAGGATCGAACCCGGGTCGCACGCATACCAGGCGAGCGCGCTACCGCTTGAGCCACATCCCCAGCCCCAACATTAAGTCTTTTAATCATAAACCTTTCCATTTATTTAGCTCTTCTTTAATTTCTTTCAGCAATAGTTTGTAGTTTTCAGAAGTAAGTTTGACATGGTTTTCTTTAAAAAAATTTTTTTTTAGTTATAGATGAGCAGCATGCATTTATTTTTGTTTATTTTTATGCAGTGCTAAGGATCAAACCCAGTACCTCACACGTGCTAGGCAAGCACTCTGTCACTGAACTACAATCCCAGCCCAAGTTTTACATATTTCTAAAATTTATTATCATGAGATTTTCTTTTTTTTTTAAAGACAGGAGAGAGAGAGAGAGAGAGAGAGAGGGAGGGAGGGAGGGAGGGAGGGAATGAATTTATTTTTTGGTTCTYGGCGGACACAACATCTTTGTATGTAGTGCTGAGGACCGAACCCAGGCCGCATGCATGCCAGGCGAGCACGCTACAGCTTGAGCCATATCCCCAGCCCCATCATAAGATTTTTCTTAACTTCAGTTTTAAATTGTTCATTCCAAGCACATAAAAATGATTGATTTATTGCATATTGATCTTGTATCCTACAACCTTGTTGCGTTTCAAGGTTCATCCCTTGTTATAGTCAGATAATATTCTAACATTTCTTTAATGGTTTCCCAGGTTTTCTATATTATGCTACCACGTCATCAGCAAAATAGATGGTTTTACTTCTTCCTGTCCAATCTAGATGGCTTTTAGTTCATTTTCTTGACTAACTCTCTGGCTGGAGCCTCTAGTACAATGTTAAGTAGAAGTGGTGAGACTTGACACCCCTGTTTTGCTCCTGGATCTTAGTGGGAAAATATCTAGGCTTTCACCATTAAACATAACCCTAGCTGTGAGCTATGGTTTTGCACAGCTGTCCTTAATCAGCTTGAGGTACTCCTTTCTATTCCTGGTTTTCTAAGTACTTTCCATCCTAAAAGCAGGCTGAATTTTGCTAAATGCCTTTCCTGCAGCCATTGAAATGACCTCGTCATGTTTTGTCCTTCATTCTACCGATTTGGTTTATTACGTTAATTGATTTTCAGATTTTAAAACAACCCTACATTCTAAGGATAAACCCCAATAGCCATGCTGCAGACTCCTTTTTATAAGCTTTTGGCTTTAGTTTGCTAATATATATATATATTTTTTTAAGTTGTTGATAGACCATACGTGGTGCTGAGAATCCAACCCAGCGCTTCACAAATGCCAGGCTATCGCTGAGCCCCAGCCCCAGCCCCAGCCCAAATTTGCTAGTATTTTATTCAGGATTCTTTTGCCAATATTCAAAGGAGATGTTAATCTATAGTTTTCTGATGCTGTCTGATTTTGGTGGCAGGGTAATAAAACAAGTTATCAAGGATTTCTTTGCCTTCTATTTTTTTGAAGAGTTTATAAAAAATAGGTACTAATTCTTTAGACATCTTAGAGAATTCACAAGGAAGCCATCTGAGCCTGAAATTTTGTGAGGGGGATTTTTCTTTTTCTTCTTTTTTAACTCAACCTCCTCTCTCTTAGTTCCCCCCCCCCAAACAAGTTTTATTTCTTCTTGAATCACTTTAAGCTGTCTGCTTCTAGGAATCTGTCCATTTTATTAAACTTACCTGATTTGTTGGTACACTAGTGCTCATGGTATTGTTATAACATCTCTTCCATTTCTGTAGAGCAGTAATGGTAATGTTTCCTATTTCATTCTAGATCTTAGTACTTTTGAGTTTTTTCTTTTTCTCTTGGTTTTGCTTAAGGTTTGCTAGTCTTGTTGATCTTTTCAAAAATCAACTTTTGGTTTTGCTGATTTTCTCTTTTTTTCCTGTTCTCTGTTCTGTTAATTTCCACTTTAATCTTCATTATTTTTTTCCTGCTATTTGCTTCAGATTTAGTTCATTCTTCTTTTTCTGGTGTTCTAAGGTAGAAGGCTAGGTAACTGACTTGAGATCTTCTTTCGCAATATGGGCATTTACAATGACCATAAATTTCCTTTTAAGCTGCTGCTTTATCTGCATTCCATAAGTTTTGGTACGTGTATCTTCATTTTCATTCATCTTGTAGTGTTTCCTTTTTGATTTCTTCCTTGATTTATTGGTTATTTAGGAGTGTGGTGTTTAATTTTCATGTATTAGTAAAGTCTCCCAAGTTTCTTTTTTTCTAATTGTAGATGGACTTAATACCTTTATTTTTTATTTTTATGTGGTTCCGGGGATCGAACCCAGTGCCTCACACATGCTAGGCAAGCGCCGTACCACTGAGCCACAACCCCAGCCCTCCCAAATTTATATGAATTTCTAATTTTACTACACATTGGTCAGAGAACATACTTTTATGATTTCAATCCTTTTAAGTTCCTAAAACTCATTACGTGGCCTAGCACATGATGCGTCCTGGAGAATACTTACTTCATGGAAAATACTTCATGCATACTGAAGAATAATGCATATTCTCCCATTCTTGTGTGGAATGTTCCTTAGATGTCAGATAGGTCTAGTTGTTTTACAGTGTTATGTTTAAGTCCACTCTTTCCTTACTGATCTTCTGCCTACTTGTTCCATCAATTACTGAAAGTGGAGTATTCGAATATCCAAATTATTACTGAATTGACCATTTCTACCCCCTCGATTTTGTCAGCTTTTGTTTCAGGCCTTTTTGGGGTGTGATGTTAGGTGAAGTTGCTACATTTTATCCAAGATGTGGCACTACTTTGTGTTCTCCTGTTTCTTTCCCTGTCTCTTTCTGTACCATTCTTGCCCAATAGCATTCAATGTGACACTGCCATCTCCACACTTTTGAGTTTTCCCACCTCCATCTACTCTTGGCAAAGTACAAGCCATATAATGAACATTTCCTAAATTCTTGTTTATCTATGACAATTAAAAACATTTTTGCACTATGATCCACAAAAAGCAGCCAATAGTAATTTGTGAAATCACTTCAGAAATGCCTATTTTACTGACCACAACCAATTCCAATGATAAGGTCACTCACTACATTTCTCAAGCTTTGAGGTTCCCATTAAATGCTAAGGGGTGAGACAGGATCAAGGTTTATACTGACAGCAGCCTCAGTGGTGAGCTGGTGTCCACCCAGAAGATAGCCCATAAAGCCTTGGACTTTCTCCTACTCTTACCCAAGCAGGAATCATACCTGGTTTTCTAGGAAACACTGACTTGATCTGACACTACAGAAAACCCTAAGCTAATCCAAACTACAGAGAATTGGCCAAGAACAACTCGAATTGAGAATAATCAATAGTGGCTAGATTGATGTTAAGAAAAGCAAAATTGGGCTGGGGATGTGGCTCAGCGGTAGCGCGCTCGCCTGGCATGCGTGCGGCCCGGGTTCGATCCTCAGCACCACATACCAACAAAGATGTTGTGTCCGCCGAGAACTAAAAAATAAATATTAAAAATTCTCTCTCTCTCTCTCTCTCTCTCTCTCTCTCTCTCCACTCTCACTGTCTCTTAAAAAAAAAAAAAAAAAAAAAAAAAAAAGCAAAATTAGGGTCTGGGATTGTGGCTCAGCGGTAGAGCACTCGCCTAGCACGGGCAGGACCCGGGTTCAATCCTCAGCACCACATAAAAATAAAGGCATTGTGTTGTGTCCATCTACACCTAAAACATAAATATTAAAAAAAAAAAAAGCCCTAAAAAGTTGTTCTTGGGGCTGGGGTTGTGGCTCAGTGGTAGAGCGCTCGCCTAGCATGTAAGAGGCACTGGGTAAGATATTGTGTCGACCTAAAAGCTAAAAAATAAACATTAAAACATATGCCACCATCACTCACAGTTCACCCCTTATAAATCAAGGAGCTGTGACCTGTGAGCTACTAAGAAGGTAGTTCTATCTGTTCTCCATTCTATGCATCATGTAAATTAGATTTATCTTTAGTATTCGTATTATTCTTTTGAAACATTTATGGAAGTTATGCAAAAAGTACATCTTTACACTTATACTGAACATAAAAAAATATATCTTACAAGTTACAAGAAATTTAGTATTTCAAAAATTTTTATAGAACAAATCAATTGCTGGGCATCTGGTGCACACATGTAATCCAAGAAACTTAGGAGGCTGAGGTGGGAGGATTGCAAACTCAAAGCCAGCCTCAGCAACTTAGAGAGACCCTGTTTCAAAATAAAAAAATTAAAAGGGCTGGTAATGGGCTGGGGATATAGCTTAGTTGGTAGAGTGCTTGCCTTGCATAATAAGGCCCTGAGTTCAATCCCCAGCACCACCACCAAAAAAAAAAAAAAAAGGGCTGGGAATGATGTGGCTCAATGGTCAGTTGTCCCTGGGTTCAATCCCTGGTACCGGAAAGAAAAGAACAGATCAAAAGTATGGATAGAAAAACATGATTAAGATTACATAGAGAGGGCTGGGGATGTAGCTCAGTTGGTAGAGTGTTTGTCTTGCATGCACAAGGCCCTGGGTTCAATCCCCAGCACCACCAAAACAAAAAACCAAAAGATTATATAGAGCATTAAACTTACGTTCTACATATTGTTCAATAAGAATAAAAACTGCTAAAACCCTTAAGAATAAAAAACTATACTGATGGGCTAGGTTGTGGCTCAATGGTAGAGTGCTTGCCTAGCATGTGTGAGGCACTGGGTTCAATTCTTAGCACCACTTATAAGTAAGTAAAATAAAGATCCACTGACAAAAACAAAAACGTATCCTGGTAACCCAGGGCTTTGTGCATACTGGGCAATCCATACTCCAGCCCTACAAAGTTGTTTTTATAACAAAAGAAAACAGTACACATTACAAACTGGAAAGAATCATGATCAAAACAGTAATAGTGTTTGTGTACATACATCTGCTTGATCTCCGCTCAACTGCGTTTTTGCCAGTCTTCAAGGTGTCCTTGCCCGGGTGCTGTAATTTTGATTGATGCTGCTGATGGTCATTAGACAACTTGCCTCCATTTCTCCTGCCATTCATCACCATGTTCTTGGATTCTCCCAACCACTTCATACCCACAGACAGCCTGGCCCAGGTGCATTTAGTCACTCTCTTCAAATAGCTTAGAGAATAATTTCAGTGTTCTCTCCTATCAGAAACAAAACATGAAAAACAAAACAATATGGGGAGGTAAATACATGAAAAAGTATGCTAAACCCACCCCAAGAAAGACACATAAGATTGAAATTAATTTAGTAATAATGTCTGCATTCTGAAAGATTATTTTAGTTTCCCGAACCACCATGTCACGTTCAGTATTATATTGCCCCCAGACTCTAGTCACAATATAAACTACATAAGACAGGARGGATCTTTCTGACTTGTTCATTCCTTGTGCTTAAAAGAGTGACTGGCAAACACTAGGTGCTCAATTAGTATTCACCTTTCAGTTAATTAATAAGAAGCATCTTTGCTCTTTATTTTGCTGACATGTAGGAATAGCTCTACAATGCACTCAAATTACAGGTTTTGGTGATACTCTATGAGCTGGGTAAACTACAAAGAAATCATGTCCTTGTCTGAAGGAAAGTTTAGGAAAAGGCACCTAAGTGAACTTCTGTCCACTGTGGTAAATGGACTACCATTGTTGCTAACGGTATAAAAAATGATGCCCATTCTATCACTATTCTATCATTCTATCACATGGAATAAAAAAATGATGTYCATTCTATAACTTCATTATGGAATTATGCTTTAGTCTAATCACATTTAAAAGGCCCAAAGATAAGAAAGCACAAGAATATACAACTGTGTAGCTAAAAGAACTTTGTGATCACTAGCACAATTCCAACTTACAGATGAAACCAGGGCCCATTCCAATCTGCCTGCAGTGGAAACGTGAGTAGAACCTAAGTGCTTTTACCCAAGGATTGCTTGACTGCACCAACAAGGTCATATAGGAAGTTTGATTTTCAAAACATATAGAAAGTATAAATAATGGACTTTTTTTTTTAAGTATAAAAAATGGACTTTTTTTTTTTTTTTTTTAAGTGCTGGGATTAAACCCAGAGCCTTCCACATGCTAATAAGCACACACTCTACCACTAAGCTACACTCCCAGCCCCTTAACAAATGACTTTCAAGTACTCCCAGCTGGGATTACAGTTTTGTATCACACTGCCCTGCATAGCAGTGTACTTCTGAAGCATCTACACACAGTAAGGTTGAAAAATAAAGTAATGCACCATGGCCCTCTCTCACCTTTCTCCTCTCTCTGCCTAGGCTACTATCACCCATGTCCTTGTGTCTGGCTAATTTAGTTATGCCCCAATTTAGTGTTTAGGATCTCTACAAAATCTTCCTTGACCTTCACTGCCAAATGCATTTGCATATCCCTAATACAAAACAAGTGAAAGGCTTTAGGTCACTTGTAACTAACCATCTGCTTCCTTAATTGACTTGAGAGTTCCTGAGGTCAACAATCCATTTTTTCTTATCTCTGACCCCAGTATCTAGCATAATGTAGAGTAGATCAGAGGCACTCAACTGATGAAAGAATAAATGAGGCTGTGCTCTAAAACAGGTCACACAAAAAAACTGCTTTATCTGTGTTTTTTTTTTTAAACTGTAATTAAAGTTACTGCCTGACCTCTTCAAATCTCCTTCTATTTCAAGATGCCTATGGTGCTAGGGACAGCAAAAGAAGATCCTGCACAGGTACAGACATGGTAGGACTCACAGCCACCACCAGCAACCTCCCTACCCTCTGCCACTCTGATTCTGGCTCAGTCCCTAGTTCTACATCTCCAGGAAAAAAGGGCAAGGAGGAGAAGCTAAAGTACTTTTTGTCATTTAGGGACTCTATCCCCAGAACACCTCATATAACACATGATTTGTATGAATGAAGAATGTGTGTTTAAGACTATAATTTTCCTCAATTATAAGACCTAAAGGCTATCTGCATGAAGCAGAAGAAGGAAACTGCAGATAGAATTAAAGAGACACAAAAGATAGCAAGCCATCTCTCTATGGAGAATCCTTATGTTTCAACCAAGATTCCCACTCAGCAGGTACAAAGCAGAATCTGGGAATGAGGCCCACCTGGGGATGACCTCCAGGTACAGCAGTGTTGAGAATTATGTTTACACTCATTTTATCTATCAGGGCAAAGAGCAGATGGCAAATTTAAAAACAAATTATGGAATAAATTTTATTGAGAAAATTATACCATTTCAGCCATACACATTTCAGCCAGTTTATAGAACAGACTGAGACCCATGCCATTTTATAATATCACTCTGACTAAATGTGGGTAAATGATCCAAATTGTTAACAACTGGGGCTTGGGTCTCAATTACATTGTGGTCAATTATTGTTTGAACTGAAGGTCCCATAATGTGATAGGCTCTTCTGTCAATCACAGTTGAGGCACACTGCACGTACCTACATATGGCCTAGCAGAGATGCCTGTCCTTTCCACATAGCCACAAAACATCGATCGATCAGTAAAGCAGTTCTAATAAAGCTATCAGTCATCTCGGGGCTATCCATAAACTTTTAGCTCTACTAATTATCAGAATATTGTTTGTTCTGGCAACAAACAATATTAGACTCTGTTCTTATGACATAATCTTTCCTCTAGGACAGAAAAAGCCAGCCCCGGTTGAAAGTTATAGACACTAAGGGCAACCAGGAGTTAAAGACACTGTCTTTCTGTTAAAGACAGAAAGCCTGGAGGCCTCCCCCAACATATACCAATGTAGTCTCTCCGCCATGGAACAAAGAGGGCTCACATGGAAATGCCCCCTAGTTTGATTTGGTTGACAATATCTGAACTGATTAACCACTGACTATATTTAGAACTAAAAATTACTTCAATTTTATCCCAAAACTGGCAGAAAAAAGAAATTTAAGAAAGAAGTAATGGCCACTCCTTAAGTGCAGAACTACTATCTTTCTCAATTCTAATTTCCCAATATAAAAATGTCAGGAAAATTATAAAGATTTCTATATCCAGATACTGCTGGGGGCACTGAAGACTCAACAAAGAACAAAACAAGGTTTCTGCCCTCATCTGTGCTTATGAAGGTTAGTGAACAAAGTACTAGGAAATAACAAATAAGTAACTTAATAAATAACATCAATAAATTTAGTTAACAAGTAAATGTCAGCACCTTGGGGAAAACAGAGCAGTTTGTGATGGCAGGGGTGATGGTGGAGAGTTGAGGGAAGCTGACAGACACCTGGGAAAGTGTGTAGCAAGGCCCGGGGGAGGGAAGCATGAAGCCTGGAGCCGAAATGCCAGTCTGAGGAATAGCACAAAGGCTGGGTGGCTGGAGCAGATTAGAGGAGGCATAGGCACAGAGCACACAGAAGCTTCTAGAAGAACGAACATGAAACATAAGGTTTCAGAAGTCACTGGAAACTAAGGCATTTACTCCCAGTGGCATGGAAAGCAGAGGATCCAAGTCAGTCTTTTAAAGGACCATGCTGGCAGCTTGCTATGTGACAGGGCCACAAATGAATACTTTAAAAAAAATAGTTTTAAGAATCTCTAGGAACAAGAGAAAGCAGGGAGACCAGCAGAGACATCACTGAAACCAAGCGGAGAACTAGCGGCCTGCAGCGGCGGAGGTAAAAAGAAGAGGTGGGAGTCTTTTTTCAAAGATTTATTGACAGTCGACACTTACTGACAGACTAAATGTGGAGGTGAGACAAACAGGACTCAAATGTGCCTCCAAATGGAAGATTGGATTAATACTCAGGTGATGACAAAGACTACAGGAAGACTGGGTTTTGGCAAGCGTCTGGGTGCAAGATTTTGGCTCTCGTTTTTTGAGATACCCATTAGAGACACCAGTAKCACAGGTAGCTGGACACAAGGTCCTGGAGTACAGGTCAAGGTTAAAGAGAGAGATCTAGAGAGTGAGTGTTGATGGTGTTCTAAGCCATTGGACCAGACAAAATCACCCAGGCGTGAATGTACATAAAAGAAACCCAACAACTGATGGAGCCTGCTGATGAGGTCAAGACTAGGAAAAAACACAGGACACTGAAAAGATGCAACCAGCGAGGAAGGAGAGGGACCAAACCAAGGAAGGTGTCCAAGCAGGAAGGCTTATTCCCAGAAGGCAAGTATCTCTTTCTCTAAACTGGACATGATGGGCCACTGCTCAGAAACGATGGAGAACTTCTAAACTGGATGTGACAGCTTAACACATGTGCTGAGGAAGACAGAGGAACTTTTGCTAAGAAATAGATGGCATAGGGAAAGAAGAAGAATAGCAAATAATAATAGTAGTGGTAGTTATTATTTTTATTAAGAAGTTTCACATGCCAGAAAAGACATATGTAAATTAACTCAGCATAGGGGAGGACAGATGATGGGAACTGGTTAATTAGAGAACACCATGCTTTCAAAGTTTTGTTTTGTTTTTTAATTAACAGTTAATTCTCTGGATTGGAATGATATGGACCATCTGATTGTGAGAGTGGGGTAGAATTCCCTCTATTTTTGTAAGCTTCACAAAATGGCACAACCAGGGCTGGGGTGGCTTAGCAGTGGAGTGCTTGCCAAGCATGCATGAGGTCCTGGGTTCCAGCTAAGGAAATGCAACTGTGACTATGCTCCAAGATGGTGAGCACTATCCCTGAAAGGACTAATGTCAACAGGACAGATGCACCCTCCATGGTTCTACTGGATCAACAAGAAAGGGAAGAAGTACATTTTTAAGGCTCTACTAACAAATAAAAATAAAAGGGGGACAATTTAGGAACAACACGAAACATTTAAAAAGTTAGGGATGTGGCTTAGTGGCAGAGCACTTGCTTGCCTAGCTACCATCTGCAAGGCCCTGGATTCCATCCTAGCACTGCAAAGAAAAAGCAAGCAAGCTGCTAAAATTGAGAATCGTATGCAGGCTGGGGATGTGGCTCAAGCAGTAGGGCGCTCGCCTGGCATGTGTGGGACACTGGGTTCCATCCCCAACACCACATAAAAATAAAATAAAGATATTGTGTCCACCTAAAACTAAAAAATAAATATTAAAAAAAAAGAATTGTATGCAAAGAATTAAAAAGAAAGTTAATTTGTCCACACACCATAATGCCCCTAAGGTAAAAGTACCCCACTCCTCACTACCAGGGTAC